TAATGAGAGCTTCAGCAGCCATACCAAGTTCCCTGACACTAGGGTATCGTTTGAAGCCGTGGATAGTTTCAGCCATGCTTTCCAGCACATTGTGCTTCTGGGATCTTGTCAATTTCACAGACTTTCCAGATATCTGGAAGACACGATTTCCTTCTTCAAGTACATGTTCAACTTCATAAGAGAAAGTTGGCACAGGGAAAGCATCTGGCCACTTCTACTGACGATTAGTTAAGGGTACATGTGGAAGTATGTCTGTATCCGAACTTGCAGTAGAAGACTCGTCACTTTCAGATCTCATAATCTTCAATGTAGCCTTCTCTGGAAGTTCTTCTATATCTACAAGTACACTTAGCTGCCCATCAAAGTCTGGGTCTTCATATTGAAGGCTGAAGTCACTATCCAGTCTTGGCTTGAACTTCTCTTGCATCATCATCTTCAACTCTTCAACTGATTTTGGTCGGCTATCAAGACTGAGCTTGATGGCAGTATCAGTGTCCACATAAACACGCAGCAGGAATTTCTGGGAGGCAGTCATCTCTGTCTTCTGTTTCTAACACACTAAAAAGTCAAGAAAAATGTTTGAATACACAGATCAAGGATTAAACAGTAGTCTTTTAAAGAGAGATTGTCCAGTTTTAACAATAAATGCATCTATTTGCTTCTCATTTAATTAATATATATCGCCTTGGTGTTATGAGAAGTTTTCCTTGTGTGAAATATGCTGAGAGAGGCAACGTGTCATTGAGCTCTGATGTGGTGTGAACTGCCAAATCTCCTGATACAAGTTCATAGGAGCGCAGGTGTTCAATGTATCGTGATTCATGTTCACGGCAAAGGAAAACAATGTGATTGTTCACCAGGAATATCTGTTCAATTCTACTAAACATTGGCAGTGCACTCTCATGTCCAACTGACACAAACATTCCTGCAACATAATCAGTTCCATCTATGGTTACCCTTGATGTACTGTAAATCATGTTGCAGTCAGTTTTTCGGGCTATGTATGCCTGGGCAATGTCAGGGAGTGTGGAAACCATCACAGAAGACATACTTGATGTCTGTTGGTGAGGTTTAAAGAAAGATGGGGCACTCAAATAGTATGCCATCATGTACTGATGCCTCCATGCTAATGTTTTTAACACATTCTTAAAGTTTTGTGTGTCATGAACAGTACGCTTGAAAAAGCGATGTTTACCCTCAAATCTAATTGTCCACAGGTGAACAATGGGGCCAAAGCAGCGAATGAGGTCGGGATAATGCTCAACATAGTGGTGTTTTGGGCGGAATGTAAAGTTAGGAAAGACTTCTTTCAGCATTTGCCGATGGTCTTTAATCTTTGTCTCTAAATACTGGATAGCTTCCTAAGTAAATTTTGGAGACAGCGCCAACTCGACTATTTCCTTCAAATCCATGAGCACAATCCAAGCTC